CCGAGCGGTATTTTGTGAACAACTTTTCTTAAATACCGGTAAAAACGAAAAATGACTTCTAGCGAACAGGTAATCCTGGAGAACAAATATATCCTGGAGAACAAATATATCCCGGAATGAATCGAGGATGGATTCATCGAAAAACTTTTGCAATAAATGCAGCCACTGAGACGATCCCAGATTTAAGGTTCGCCGTAGGAAACTTTGTGAAATTCTAGGATCATCCCACCACCCGAAGTTATTGCAAGACTTCTGACCAACTAAATAATTCTAGTTATACATGTATATGATAACTAGAACATGTTATAAATTGTACATTTCTTCCTCGTGATCGTTTCCTGTATCAATTATTTTTTTAGTCCATATACCACTTACCCTCGATTTAAAAATATTGCTTCCCTTATTACAAGACATTGAATGACATTCTTGTATCATCTGAGCAAGGAAATATTTTCTATGAAGAATCGAGGTCGGTTCAATCGAAGAAGACTTCCAATAAATCCAGCTAGGAAGACGGTTCTTCACATAATGTGCATTTTCAATAGCTCGCCGGAAGTGAATCCTTATCGAAGGCCTTTGCCATGTAAAACAGAAGACCCGATGTTACATCGATTGCATATAGATCTTTAATATTTCTCAGATATATCTTTCCTAATAAATACGTCCATGTTTGTCCTTCAACGATATACAGTTAAAAGTGACGCTAGACGTTCCGCAAAGTTTTGAAAGCGTTCCCCTTCGGCTCGGTATCGTTCCACTGACTAGAGTTATTGCAAGACTTCCAGGGGCTCTACGGTGTCCGGAGAAAAATTTGTTGGAAAGTTAATGCAAAAATATATGGTTACAGCGCAATACTGGGAGCCAAGTTCGCCGGGACAAAAATATTCCATTAAATCGCGTATAAAGGGTCGAGCACTTTCCTTTCATTTCGCCGATGCTCGTCTTTACGTAAAACAAAATATAATCATTGCGGAACAATTCAATAAACTACGGTCTTACTATACCACGCAACGAGGACACATTACCAAATAACCAGCGTTAACGGTTAACCTCACAGGTGATCGATATAAAAGTTCTCCGTCAACACGAAATAGAAACTACAAATTTAAATTTCCAGAATTTCACAACGTTTTCAAGCACTTTTGCAAAACGGCCTGTCAACGTAAATATCACTCAACTTGGCATCATGAGAAATCGCGAAACGCGCCCTGCCTGAAACGGACAGATGGCGGACTGTCTGCTTTTGAAAAAATGTCTGCACAATGCCATTAAGCGTCGTTACTTTTCCTCGTTCCGTCCCACGTAACGGCAATGCCAATAACTTTCCATTTTCCACTTAAATACCGTTTAAGCGATCGAAAAGTGCTTCCATTGCCGACTACCCCGTTCAATCGCTTCCGCTTTAATTTCATATAACGGAAATGATCTACATCACATATTTCCGCTGACGCAGGTAAACCCTACGACTACTTAAATCCACGACTATCCTTAATTTTTCCTTTCATCGATTTCCAGGGCAGGGAACTGTCACGGGTCATTCCCGTTGTCCTCCACCTACGGTAACAAAAAGGTCCTGGATTCAAGGAACCCTCGCGTGCACTTTCACGATGCAATAATACGTGCAATAATATGCAAGGCAGTGCACCCTAAATCCTCGGATCTCGCCTTCCGCGAGGGTGACCGCTGTCAGCTGGCAGCCATGGCCCAGGGTCGCGTAATGGCGAAAAAGCTGCATACGGCGTGGCATCGCGGGCGCTTTTATTGCACGTTCTGTACGTAACTTCCCCTCCGGACCTTCCCGACCTTCGGTTATAAGGGTTTGAGCGGCGCGAAACTCCTCAATAAAGGCAGCATTTGCGTGTATAGTGCATTCCTCGTATAATTCAAGTTGGTTCCCGGGCTTACGTGACCTCGCTCCTGCGGGCTCTGACCGATCATGAATAACAATACGCGAACCGATACGCGAACCGATACGCGAACCGGTACCGGCATCGGTCGGGTCGACCACTGGAGGGTAAGGGCCGACCCTCGGAGCAACCCCGAGCGGATGAAGAGGTCGCCGTCGAATTCCAATGTCGGATTACACTTGGTAAGGAGCTCCCGAGCCCCCGGTTCTTCTTATATCCGACATTGCCGACACTCGGCCGATTTGAGCCCGAGCCAGGACCGTAGGTCTTCCTTCCGCTGTCCCCGGCAGCTGGCATCAGGTGAAATCCCGGCTCGGGGCCCTCGTCGGAACGGCGCGATGCCTTGGCGGCGGAGCGCCCGGCCCGACATGAATTTACATCGGCTACCTATCCCGGCTACATAGATCTCCGTTTTGCGGTGGACAACTAACAGGCGCTTCTGGATGATTTGCATAAAATGAGGACTGCCGTCTGCCCGTAGGGTCTCGGGGGACGCGTCTCCGCGTTTCCACGTAACTCCGTGGCGTGCCGACGCCCGAGTATGCCGGTCCGCTGCAGCTTCCGCAGCTTCTGCCGCCGAGACGATCCCGCGAGCCGTCCGAGGCAGCTCGCTCCCTCCGAGAGTCATCGCACTTTATGACCGATTACGACGACGAACTTCCGAGTGTTCTTAATTACTTTTCGAATTACGCCGAGATGAGTTCGAGCGTATTTGCATCCCCTTTTAGGCCACTTTCTTAGGACTGCTCTTATGAGGATCTCGGCGCCCCCGGAGATGCTCGGGGCCTTGCCCCAGGCCTCGGGTGCTAACAAGGCCACCCTGGCTGTCCCGAAATACGTCCTGGAAATTCTTCGCCTCCGCTGGCTCGAGGAGGGGCTTTTCATAAATATTTAACCTCTTTTTCTCGAAAAAAAAAGGGTAGTACTCGGTGGAAGATGAAGACGGCCCGGGAATGCCGCTCAAAGTGAAACTACGCGCTCGCGTTGTTTAAATGCTTTTAAACTACGAAACGGCCGTATAAAGGGGCCGCTTAGAAGGAGTTAATCCGATCTTTTTCAGGAAGGTTTCCTCGAAACCATCCCTCTTATTTTTAATGGCACGCGATAACCTCGCAGCCCGTCGAAACTTTAGATCTCTTTTGGATGGACTCGGTCGACGTCGTCGACGGTTGGTTGGCTATTTTTATAGAATTTAAAGGTCCTAATATTATACGCAACGTGAGTACTTGGAGCTTAAAAGAGGTAACGCGTATGTGTATAATTTATGCATCGCGATAAATGATGAATTGCCAAATTGTATATCGATGTTAGAAATACGCCTTTGAGAAAATAGCTCATCGAAAAACCGATACGCTTACCGAGTACTCGTCAACTATTATTTTGGTAACAATATTTGCATACGTACATGACATAAAGATAAAGGTTAAGAAATTCTTGCCTCCGCGAGAAAATGTTGTACAGATCCAAAACAACTTTCCAAGGTACAGAAATTATTTAGCTTCTATTTGGGAAATCGTGACTCGATTGAAATGTCGAGAAAATGTTCAAAGCAACGACGTCTGTTCCGTTAAATCGCGTAAACCGTTTGAAGTGAACTGACTTTACAGCAAATTTATCAGACGTCATTTACACAGTTTTTGAACGTCCGTAACATGTGGCAACTTTAACCTCGTCGACTTCTCCCGATTTCGTCCGACCGTCGAAATATAAGTGGAAAAGTAAAAGGTTAGCTGACACTTGAACGGGGCTATTTCATCCTGCGAAAGTATTTCCCGCCATAACGAAAAAACTCCATTAATACTTCGAATCGCTCTGTGCCCGTATTGAATTCCAACCAGAGCAGAATGCAAGTTACCAGTTCGTAATGTTTCCACGCTAGAGCGGAGCCACGACGAAAAAACGAAAGCAAATACGACACCCCAAGCGAAAACATATTGATCCAATATGAAGGAAATAATGCACGTATATCTATCTCCGCATCCCTATATCACATATACAAATACTTGAATTTCACGCGTCATCTCTAACCAGACGATACAAATCAAATAAAGTTATGCATGACTTCATATATAATGATCCATATCTTCGGATACGTTACAGGAAGTAATCTACGACGAGCCATCATGTGAGCGCATGCTCACATTTGTTTTCTCTCCCAGGATCTTAATACAAATTTTCAAGTAAAATACCAAAATCTAATATTATTCAAAACAACACCAAAAACCAACAATGACAATCTGCGCTAATTCGTGTACTTTTCCCATCAGGAAACTCGGTAGAGTTTCGCGCCAAATACATTAAAAAACGTGCGCCAACGGCACCGAATACTTAATGCCAAAGTTCGGTACTTCAATTTGATAAATATTCATTTCTCAATTCAGAGAACTTATCATAGATCCATATTTGGCATAACGAAAGAACGTTCCGTTTTGTAGAGCCTGTAATTTTTTTCAGATTTTTCTACTCCATCCGTTACTACGCGCTACGCTAAAAAAAAGGATACAGAGATATCTGCAGAAAGATCCGAAGAGTCCAACCAGCCCTCCGGCACCCCGAAAAACGTCCATTCAACCACCATAACATCGACTCACTCGAACCAACTATAATAAGGATGTATTTCAATATTCGTTACACGGGTTACAAACGACTCTCGCTAAAGTGGAAAAGTCCGCTAAAGAACGAGGAAAAAAGAAAGTCCGGCGCGACGTCACCACCATACGGAGCAGGGTCCTCCCCTGTCCGGATAAGGACCTCTTCGATCCAGGGGCCGAAAGAAAACCCCATGGCATCGTATCCTCGAAAGCCTTGGATCACCTCACGAGTCACCGATACATCCAAGGAGCGAGGATCGAGCGCGATCAGCGGTCGATCGATCCGGCGCGCGTCCGGTACGTCTCTATTAGGTTTTATTAGAGCATAATGCACAAAGAATAGGTAATATCATACACAATACATCCCTCGGTTCGTGTCCAGTCCATTACCGCGGCGCACTTTATTTCAGATCGATATCGGGCCGGCACGGTCCCAGCTCCTTCCGGCCGCGCCCGTCCACCAGCTCCAGGGGCAGTCTCGGTGCAGTGGGATATAACCCTATTAAGGGGACCCAATGATCGTCCGCCGTAACAGCTTTTCCATCAGGACCACCAAGACGAACAAAGTTATCCTCCCGGTGGGCTTCCCGGCACCTCCACGTTGCATGGCCGCAGGATGCTCCCCTGGAACACAACCTGGACCGGTCACCTTCTTGCCGCGTCGCACGGCCGACCTCCCTCTAATGATCTCGAGTACGAGATTCTCACCGTTTAAGACGTGCACCGTGACACTCGTCGGTGTCGCTTTGCTCGACTCGCAAGTGTAATTGCCGCTGTCGCTCGGAAGGGCCCGCGTTATCAAGAGCTTGCTCGTCGTGCAGTTCTTCGTCTTCTCCGTCTCCAGGGACACGCCACCCCTGGAGATAACCATCCCCGGATTTTCATGGAACAACAACCGATGCTGGATATTTTTATTCGATCGTGGCGAGGGTGACAATCGACTTGGAAGGAGGGAAAACTTGAGAAATGGGGATTTGGATGACGGCGAACCAGGGGTTGAGTCCAAAGAACGCGTCGTTTAGGGTGATGCGAAAGACCAGATTCTGCCCCATTTTCCTGCTTTTTAATATAGCCGTGATTTATTTCCAGGTTTGAAATTTAGGAATACGGGAGGCCTGGAGGTACGTCCTGGGTTAACGATCCGTTTAATTAAGCCGCGGGAAGAAATCGATCACGATGTTAAGGGGATGTGAAAGTGGTATCCAAAGGGTCAATCGTTTATGACACTTTTCTCCACACTGGGTGTACCGAATCGTTTCAGACTTTACAACGTGAATGTGGATGCTATAAAGAATGTCCTCGCCCTCATGAAATTTTTTTCATTTTTTTTTAACGTATAAAATGTCTATGGACGAGTTAAAAAAAAATTGAAATTGCATGGAGGTCAGAACCTTTTTTATAGCCTTCGTATTTGCGTTGTAAAATTTGAAACGATTCGGTACACCCAGTTTGAAGAAAAGCTTCATAACCGCGATCTCTTTGATGCCATTTTCGCATCACCTCGAGAGAAATTCAAATTTTGGTGGCAGGGCCAAAAGCAGAAAGCCGGCCCTAAAATTTATAACGACGAGACAGGTAATGGAATACGTAGAGAAGCAGCTGCAGGTGTTAGGGCCGAGAGCAAAGCAAGCAAACTTGTGCATGCGTAGTGCCGTACTTCTTTCTTAAAACAAAGCTGAAAGTAAGCGCAAGGAACACAACTCGTAAATTATTGCCCGCCGACTCCCGGAAACCTCGCGTTATGAATTATAGCTAAGCTGTTAACTAAAGGTAGAGGTAATTGTCTGAAAATGGAAAAAAGAAGAGGAAAGACTAAACGCATTGTTTCCGCTCGTGTACGGCATTCCGCCCTAAGCCACGAGACTAAATATCGTTAAAAAAAAAATCAGAAAGAGGGAAGCATCGAACGGCGCCCAAAAAAGGTGGCAAGGAATCGAACGAATGTGGGCTCGAAGCCAAGCTTCGTGATAAAAACGTAAAAAGCGGTTCGACCAATGTTTAAAACCCTATTATTGGTAAGATGCTTAGTTTTGCTCAAACTGATGAAGATTCTCATAAAGATAAAAAATGAAAAACCTGGAAGTCGCCCCGAAATCGACTCGTAGATGTTCGAGTTATCTAAATCACCCTGTTTATTGCTGCGAACATGTCCAATGATGAGGCAACTATGTACCTCCAGATAATGCCGCAGTTGGAATTAGTAACCAGGCCAAATGCTGAGCAGACCTGCTGGAAAGAGGACGAACGGTGCTCATCTGCCGCCGACATTCGAGCGGAACAAGCCACTAAAGAAGCCAGAACTGAAAGGCGCAAGAGAGAACGAGAAGCCGAAGATGATGCAAGTGCTGCTGAATGTGCTTTCCATGGAGCAAGAGTCGATAGAAATCGCTGAAATAAAATTCCCCAGCCTTATTGTACGAAAAACGATTCTCAAATTGGAAGATTGTCTATTCGTGCCGTGCCATTCTTTCGTATTAACTTATTCGTCGGAGTATCCCTGAATCAAGAACAGGATTTACATCAAGGAACAAATTAAACGGTCATATTATTTTAAATCAATACCGAACGAACGCATCCACCAGGAGTTGGAACTTCCTTTCGCTATGAATATTACTTAATATGATCTGACATATGTTGCCGGAAAAATGACATTTAAGAAATCGGTAAGTTGCCTTAAACGTGTTACATTCGCTACAACGTATAGTGGTAGGGTTTTTACAGTATTTATGGTATGTCGTATTATGCTAATCCAGAAATGAAAATAGTTCAGAGCAAATATGTAAACATAATTACCGGAAAATTTAGCCAAAAGTGCTTTGGAATTATCTGTCGATTATTTCACGCGTGAAGTAATTATTTGCCAAAGGACGCATTTGATCCCATTAAATGCTTCCGTTGGGCGCTTAATTTGCGTAACATGTCTCAAGTAAACGTCGCACCTGAAATTTGTAAATTTTTTAGTCAAGCACGGGGCTTTTACCGTGCGTCCGCGACTCAAATGCGCGTGAAGGGAAATTGCGCGTCCACCGGAGACTTCATTTTTAATTGGGTTCTGAAAGCTTCAAAAGCCGTAAGTTAAGCCGGGATAAAAATTCTAAAGAGCGCCCGTCACTGTCACCGCTATCAAATTATCCGGAAAATCGTGACAAACAAACGTTTAAATTTGAAAGTACCTAACAAAGTGGCATTACGTGGCGATGTTATCAAGAAGGTAGAAGTACCGTATTTTAAAAAGGCTGAAATATGAACGCGAAGTTTTACCTGAATTCCCGACATATTTATTAAATAATTTAATTTGAGTGAAATTGACAAGTTAACGCTTACTCTAGTTAGGTTTTGCTATTTAACGACTCGCCGTCGTTATTTTAAAGCATGGTATTAGAAAGGAGTACGAAATCTTTTATCAAAGGTAAGATGAAAGTCTGGGCGCCGAATAATTTATCGTACTAAGGCTACCTCAAAGTTCAGGCCAACTATTTGAGATCCAGTTGAAGCCCAGAATTAATTTCCTATGCGGGTACAGTACAATATCCCTCTGTACTAAGTGCTTCAAACTAAAGCCGTCAATCCTTCCAAAGTTGTGTGTATGTCAACTTGTGTATACCAGTCGAGAGGAGGCGGATGCAATAGGTGTGTCTCGCGATTGCGTTCGGATGTACTCGACAAATGGCCCAACAAATGTCTTCCGTGGAGCATAATACGACCTCGCAAGGGAACATGCGAAAAAAGAATTCAACCAGAGTCTTTTACTTCCTTAAAGAGATAACGCGTAGCCCGCCAGCGAATATCAAACAGAAAAGTGAAACATGGAGTTTAATGAACTAACGCGAGACAGAGCTGGAAAAGTCATCCGAGAAGTAACAGCGTCTACTTTTCAACTCTACATGAAACGATCGACCTAACGAAAAAGTTACTAATCTAATTTCGCCACTTTATTCAACATTTCGATCCAACTTTTCGTAATTGAGCGCATAAACACGCGTCCTCGGAACGAGGCAAATGCATTAGCGACGCTTGATATCAACTTTTGAATAAATTGAACGGTCGGCGCAACGAATGGGTTAGGAATCTAATTTCACTAATCCTGTAATCCAGGGCTGATTTTATCGAACGCTCCAATCGAATCCGTCGAAATCGAGCATATAAACACGCGTCCTCGAAACGAGGAGGCGAATACATTAGCGGCGCTTAATGTGCGTCTCGGATATAGCGGGCAAATTGATTTACAAGTTCCTTAATTGCTATACGATACTATCTTTCAATTTGCGCCCGGCGTACTAAGGAATTAATGCAAATTCCTCGAAAAGACTAATTCATGGGCCACTTTTAATTACATCTATCCAAAGTGCCGGGAGTAATGGCCGAGTCAAATTAGAGGAGCATCACGCGCGAGCAATTACGTCGCGATGCGTACGTGTGTTGAAAACTGGAGGCGCGCCGGATACGAGTTCAGCTGTAAACCGATTGTCCAAGTTTCGCTCGGACGTGTCAAAATCCGGCTGAAATCTTAATAACACCAGCGGATACCCGAACACCCGAACACCCGAACAGACCACCGAACGCTTTGTCGAACGTTCGATTCGCAGCCGGAGATTACACGGAATGGACCTCGCCGAACGTTATGGTCCTATCCCCTGAAATAGAATCCAACAACGGAACGTGCACCTCGTGATAATCATTCCTCGATACTTCTCCTGCTAATCAGCTTCGCGGATCGACCGAAATAGGATCGGAAGAGGTACGATCCTCCCAGTGTCCCAGTTTTGAAAAACGACGACTAAACCGTGTATTACACGTTGCGAGTACACGTTAAAGCTCCATATAGGTCAAGTAATAATGCACATTATAATCATGGCATAAAGCATAAGCTTAACTGGCATATAAAACCAAATTCCGAAATTGGAAATCACAATTATGTAGATCGCATATAGGAATCTAATGCAATGGCAGAGCCGCCATTGAGGGTAAAACTGCGGACAAAAATAATGATCCAGAGGACGTTATGCCCATCAACCAAAATGAGAGTAGAAGTGCCATTTACAAACGCGTTAGGACATATTGGAACCAAATTTGAAAAACTCCGGAAAAGTAAATTACACCATATTAGAAACGATACACTAGAAGTGAGTCCTATAATTAAAGCTAAAAGCAGAACAGAAGAGATCAAGTTGTGACCACGAGATTACATATACGGCATACCAATTTCAGCCATGCCTATCTGTTAAGTGCAAACAAGAAGATCGGAATATGCACTATATGCAATGTTGTAGTTTCAATAAAATAGACTATCACGGAATTTGTAAAACACACCACTTCAAGATATAATAGATATCTAAGAAACCGAGTGAACCTGCAGGAAATATTAAACGTCCCATCACGGTGCAAGAAAATTATAGACTACCTAAAGAAACAGGACATCCACAAACTGATGTGATACAACTTGTAACCGAAATCCATACGAGACCAAAGATCCACTGCTAACCACATTTTGAATAACGATACATAGCTATCGACTGAATATAAACTTTATATACAAACACTACGCGTGAACGCAGTCGCTAACAACTGACAATGTTTGATGCGGCTTTAAGATGAAGTGAAACACGTCGAGGAACTTGATCAACGTCGATAAAGAAGATTTTTCTAAATGCCTGCGTTGCCGACGTTCGTTTTTACATTGACAGCTGTATCGAATTATATTGGTTATTGTCCCAAATGGCATACTCCACCTGTCGTTTTCGTACAATAATTATAAAGAAATCGAAGTAAAACTCCAGAAATCCTCTGGATTCATGCTTTCTGGGGCCCTAATTGACCCGTAGGGGTACCCTCTACGCCATCTGTGATTTTCAGGTCA